GCTGCTTTACCCCTAGCAATACACTGAATTTGGGATATTTTTTTTCTTTATAATCCTTGACCTGATCTGCCCAATTTTCATTTGTTGAGTTATTCTCCCATACTAGATTTGGTTCCATCCCATTCTGTTTTCAGACAATTATCCTGCTATTATAGAAGGAAACATCCAGACAGATTCTTCAGTTTCTTTACATAATTTCTTTCCAGAATTCTGTTGAAAAGAATAGAAAGCTTCAACTGCACCTTAACCACAATCTGAAACAGTGGATTATTCTTGGATTACTAGTGGCTAGCCTTTAGTTAGACAACCATAATTTACGTGACACATAAATTATGAGTAGCTGTTGCTCTGACATTTCTTTTCTCTCCTGTAGACATGTGAAGAGTATTGCTTTTAAAATTAATGGGCTAGTGGGAAGATTTGGCCAACACCACAGTGAAAAAAATTGAAATGATAAAATCCCAAGAAACCACAATCATCTTTGCAGGAAATGTTGTAGAGATATGTTCCTTGAGTAAAGGAAAAAGAGCTGGCACAAATTGCTGTTAGAGCAATTTGTGAGGTTTCTTTGCTACCCTGGATGAATGTCTTGGCCATGATTGGGCTAACCACAAAAGATTATCATGCAAATCAGAATAATATTAAATCAAAATTTCAGGATAAAGGAAAAACATATGATTGAAAGGCTTATTATAGCCTCTATTAGTAAAATTGACATAATTGGTAAATCTTCAGATTTCACAATTTATCACGTACATTAGTGCATGTGGCTAATCAGGATTCACTATTAAATGCTGTATAGCACATCACCTCAGAGTAATTTAATATTGTATACAAAATCAGAAAATATATAATAGGCTTTTAAATGTTTGGTATCTCCAAAATAATCCTGATTTCTTGGGATATTTTAATTAGCTTATATAGCAATAAATGTGATTGGTAAATTGTTTCAAATACATTTCTTTTGAACTTAGTTAATTGATGAACTAGAACAGTGATGGCGAACCTTTTAGAGACCGAGTGCCCAAACTGCAATCCCAAACCCACTTATGCATCGTTGGGTGCCGGGTGGGTGTGGCCCATTGGCTGGGTGTGGTCCATTGGATGGGCGTGTTTGCAGTGGTAACGGCAGACTGGGTGGGACTAAAAAGTTCAATCAATCAATTCCAACTTTGCAAGATCTTTTTTTTCCCGCGAGAAGTTAAAATTGACTGATTGATTGAACCTTTTTTTTTTGTACAAGGCGGCGGAGGCCTAAAGCGAAAAGGTTTTATAAAACCCAGCTGAAGGCCTAGGGCTGGGGCAATGGCGCGCGTGCCCACAGAGAGGGCTCTGAGTGCCACCTCTGGCACCCATGCCATAGGTTCGCCACCACTGAACTAGAACATAATTAAAATTCTAAGTCTATTTTTCTTATTTCTTCAAATATTTACTCTCTTTTTGTTCAATATGCTATTCTGAGTATAACCCATTATTAAAATTTATGTCCTGTCCATATCTTTAATCATATAAGTATATATTTTATATTTAATAATTTTTGCCAAATAATTTTTGCCAACTTAATTATTAGTTTATATCACAGGTTTGAAAATATTGAACCTGGACGACTATCATTCACATATATGCAAATAGCCCAGCATGCAACATGATGCTTACATACTAATTGTTGATAAATTGTTTTGATAGATTTAAGAGATTACACTGTTGTTGTGTTGTTTGTGAGTTGAAGCATATGCTGCATTTGTCCAATATATTTTCATTCTATTATATTTGGCAATCAGTTGTCTAAATAATTTACTGACATACTAAGCTATGGTAGAAAGATGGCCCTTTGTTTTATTTGACACTATCAGTTATACATTACCTACATACAAGGCACTCTTAAATTCAGTTTTTCCAAAATTGTATTCTAAATATATTTGTTAACTTTTTCACAAGGGTAACTAAAGTTTCCAAAAATAATGCAAGCAATAAAGGGGTAAATAGCTGGCTCAGGAATTCTGGGAATTGAAGTCTACGAGTCATAAAAGAGCCGAGGTTGCCTCCTCCTGCTTTAGTGTAAAGTTGCTATAGTTTGTGGAAATATGAGTAATTTGTTTTAGTAATCAAGTAATCATGCAATTTGTTTGAACTAATTGCTCTATCCAGTGTATTCCACTGTTAAAAAATGGGTTTTCCACAGGAACTCGGGAATCCGTGTGCAAATTAATACAAGGTATACCAAAAGTCAGACCTCATAGACAATGACTGTATATAAATAACATTAAAATTCAAATTGGTTGCTTTTTTCTTTGAAACTTTTCTTTACTCATTTAACACCTGACCGTTGAGCATTCCTAAATACAGTAATATTTTCTTTGGGGAAAAAATTAATAGAATTAATAAAATGTATTATGATTGGCCTGTGGGGGGCTGACTTTTGATACAACCTATGTAGTCATCTCACATTTGGATTACTGCAATATGCTCTACTTGGGGCTACTTATGAAGAGTATTCAAAAGCTACATCTGGTGCAGAATGCAGCAATGCAGGCAGTTCTGGAACCTCCAGATTGGCCCAGGTAATTGCTATTGCACTGATTGCCACTGTGTTTCTGACTCCAATTCAAGGTGTTAGTAATGAATTTTAAAGCATGGAGCCAGGCTACCTGAGGTAAAGTCTCTGAATTAGGATTGGGCACACTCATTCTGTCAGAAGGGGCATGCCGCAGACTCCATCAGTTAATGAATTCTGGCTAGTGTGATCCAGAAGAAAGGCCTTTTTCTGCCATGGCTCCTGCCCTTTGGAACGTGATGCACCTTGAGGTAAGATTTGCCTCCACCCTCCTTGGCTCAAAACCTGGCTCTGCTGATGGGCCTGGGACCTCAGTGGGCGTGTTCCATGTTGAAGGTGGTTAATGGATTAGGAAGATTCTACCTCCACCCCTTAATATTCCACTTTTTAACTTTTTTAATCTGTGTATTTTAATATTTAATGTTTTGGAATGTTTATAAGCTGCCCAGAGTCGCTTGACAGTGAGATGGGTAGCATATAAATTTAATTAATAAATATATAGTTACAGAAAAAAGTAATGTAAGTAAATGAGATGGGTGTTATCTGCCTATGGATTCATATTTAAATTGTGCATGGATTTATTATACTGCCCTGTGTAGATTTATAGTATATTGTTGAAGAATTTTTTTAATCGTATATTTAGTATTTTCCATATACAGTATATTTGTTGTTAAGATCTCATTACAGTTTTGTTAAAATTTTAAAAGCTAAAAAATGCCTATAAACTCCATCTAACATTAAATAGAGTCCTTTCCAAAACATCTGGAAAGTGCTAGGTTGGTTTTGTGTTTAATGGTATTTTTATTTTCAGATATTTCTTTTTTATGATAGAACTTTGATCTAAAATTATAGCTGTTCAAATGAATATTTTAAAATATGTTTTAACTATGAACAAAAAATTTGGTTAAAAAACCTTGGCTAAGAGCCAAAATAGAGGTGGATTTTCAACTTTTTAAAAAAATAGCAATCAGCAGGGGTTCAGGTTTTGATTCTGAGACAAGCTGTGGTACTTGGCAAAATTGTGTGCACCCCTACTCTGAGGAATAATGAATAGATTTATAGTGGGAAAAATTATTCAAGGTCAAAATGATTAAAAACACTTATCCAGCATTATATCTGAACTCAAAAGTCAATCTTCTGTTAGCTACCTGTCCATGTATGAGCAAGTAGTGATTTTTAGAGCTATGAATATCCCTTGAAATAAGTATTTTGCAACATGTAGTTGTGCATATAAAGCATCTCTTTTCAAATCATAAAGCAAGCAGCTTTTTCCCAGCTGAGCAGCCATGCATGCAGAAACAAATCTGAGAAAGGATGTAGCTGTTTTAATGATTTAAAAAAAATGACATATGTACAGAGATTTCCGTATTCAGCACTGTGGATATCTGTGTGTGCTTGTCCGTAGTAAAACAACTAATTTCACAATAATAAATCTGTGCAGGTTCTGCTGTTATTGGTCACTGAATGCAGGGTTATTTCAGGGGAGAATAAAGATTTTTGCTATGCTTGTGTGAAGTCATACAGTACAGTAATGTGTTATGGCTACCTTAATGAGACTTTCATAATTTTCAATATTGAAGGACTGCGTTGACATAACACTTGAAGCTATGACTTGCTGAAAAGTATATAGGAAACATATATTGAGATATGTAGTGTGGGATCCCACTTATAGGTCTTTTGTCCCGGAAATAATGAGGGATATTGAGAATTATAAAACCATATTCTAGACCCATGATACTAAGGTTGAAAACTGGCTTCCTAAGGACCTATTGAACTTGCAGAGGTGAGAAAGAAACTCCCCAGATTGAAGTTCTGCAACTATTCTAGGTTCCCTGCTCCTGGATGAAACACATAATCATCAAAGAGAGTTATTTTTCATTCCTGCATTTGGAACTTCCAGCCTAGTCTGTGATAAGTTTTGCACTGCAGATTAACTTAAACTAGTGTCTTATTTGAACAATTCACTTCGATAAATGCATGACACCCTCTCCTTTTGCTTTCTTCTCTCAATTCCATATATGTAACCCATATCTGTTCATGAATTACAAATACTGTAGATTAGAAAATGAAAAATCTTTTCTGAAAGGATTTTGTCATTCTATTTAATAGAATGAACATTGATTGTACCCATTAGAATAACGTGGTAAGGTCTTGATCTTTAAAAAAAATCTTCAATTCATATTTTAATGTTTGTGAAATTTAATTACAAAGAATTTAATTGTTCTCACAGATAAAAGCAATGTGTTTTATTTTGTTTTGTCTTAATGTGTTACATGAATCGAGCCACCATGGTTTAAGCATGCTTTATGAATTTAGTTACTGTGATTTCTTTAATAAATAATTATTAAAACAAAACTTGGCTGACAGTGATGTAAGACTCCAGTTTGCTGAAGTAGGAAATAGCCAAAAAAAATTAAAAGCCAAATGTATTCCATTTCTTTCCTAGGCCCTTGATGAACCGCCATATTTGACAGTAGGCACTGATGTGAGTGCAAAATATAGAGGTGCCTTTTGTGAAGCCAAGATAAAAACAGCAAAAAGACTAGTTAAAGTCAAGGTATGTATGTATATATGTGCATTTATAAACTCATTTTAGGTAGAGTAAATAACTGGTGAACTCCTGAGGAGTAATCTCTTGTGACTATTTTCATAAGAGCAAGTGTTTGTCAGGCTTCACTTTTTCTCCCATTTGATTAGCTAGGCTCATAGCAATTGAAGGCATATAAGAAATAAAGAGCTTAGTGTTTGAATGGAAATGTAGTAGTTATTTCTGCTAAATTTGCCTATAACATTAATATAATGAATATGGATAAAAGGAAAAGCACTGTATGGTTGTGTATGCATGTATTCCCATTTAACAGAAACTTTCTAAATCCTTCTGATTATGATACTGACTTTCTAATCTATAGTCTGCATACAGTTGCAGAAAATCCATTTTACACAGGCTTGCACAAGAGAAGTTGAGTCAATTGTTTCCGTAAATCCAAGTTCCAAATATTGTGTTTGCTATCTAACTAAGACCTATTTCCATTTACTCTTGAATAAGTAACATATGGATTGTAATTCTGTTTGCAAGATTGAAAGCATGAATTACTTAAAGTGATCAATTTCTTAATTAAATATGTGTAATCCAAATAGGACAAAATTATTATACCTTTTGGCCAAAGCAAAAATCAATCTCGCCTCCAAAATTCTCAAATTTGGCATACTTTGAAGTAAGCTCTCTCTTAAATAATGTCTGTGGAGATTCTCAGTAATCCAGGTCATAGTTGTCCCAAATATGTTTTTTCACGAGGGAACTGGACTTCCTTGTTTTTCTTTGAAGATGTTTCACTTCTCATCCAAGAAGCCTCTTCAGCTCTGATGAAGCTTCTTGGATGAGAAGTGAAATGTCTTCAAAGAAAAACAAGTCCAGTTGCCTTGTGAAAAAGCATCTTTGGGATAAGCTCTCTCTTGTTTTCATATATTCTTGTCATCAGTTGTTCTACTTGGCTTTTTTCCAAATTATGGGAAGCTAAAACTCTATCACACAAAAGTAAATGTGCATACTTATCCCTAGCCAATTTGTACATACTCCTGGTAAGAATATTAGCCTTTGTGATCTTAATCTTTAAGATCCTTAGGGCTATATTTAGATTGCTGTTTCAGGAATTTTTGGGTCCACCTCATAGAACTCCTTTTAACACAGTGGTTCTCAACCTGTGGGTCGGGACCCCATTTGGGGTCGATCGACCATTTCATGGGGGTCGCCAAGCAAGGCTGTCCGCCATTTTTTTGTCCGCCATTTTTTTCCCCTTTTCCGGTGGGTGCCTTACCTCCCTTGGGCTGGGCCAGCTGGTGGTCGGCCTGCTCCGTCTCTGCCGCTTGCCAGCTACGCCTCGGCTGGCGCAGGGGGCGGAACCACGCATGCGCGGTGCTCCCGGGCAGGGAAAGTCCTCGACTTACGACCGGTTGGGTAGTCCTCGACGTATGACCAGTTTAGTCCTCGACTTACGACCGGTTTAGTCCTCGACTTACGACCGGTTTAGTCCTCGACTTATGACCGGTTGGGGTCGCGGCATTAAAAAGGTTGAGAACCACTGTTTTAACATAATCTCAAAATCTGAACCAGAATTTCCCCCAAGCAAACTTGAAGACTTTAGGGGAGAAAACAAGTTTATTTGATTGATGCCTGAATTAGACTTCACTCCATGTACTAACCTCTCATTGACACTATATGTATCAATGCAATAGTATTTAATCTTTCTCTTGTAGCATTTTTTCGTGCCATTTTACCAGAGATATTGAAGTCATTGGCTCCCAGGTTTTTTTATTTTTTAAAAATGGAGTTTTTAAGGGCCAGGGTATATTTTTAGAGTAACACTTAGAAATGCTTATTGATAGGGGAATACTTATATCTCTTTGCAGCTATATCCTAATTGTTTTTTATCCGTATAGTTTAGAGAATGATAAATTGATGTGAAGTTTGATTTCATTTTATCTTCCTGTGGCTATATAATTAAGTTGGAACCACAGAACTTTGCTGAAATCCACATTTCAGATATTTTGTAGGTGAGGCAAGAGAAAGTTGTAGAGCATGAAGATGAAAGAATAGTTGATGTTATGAACTACTTGTATAATTCTAACCTAATGATATTGTTATTGATTGGATTTATGTGTTTTCTTTTAAAGACTCAGGGAAGCATCTATCTTCCAACAGTCACGGTTAGGTTGGGCTGAGAGTTACTTGTTCAAAATCATCTAATTACCTAACTTAACTGTTATTGTTGGAAGATAGATGCAGAGATTTAAAGAAATGTTTCCTGTGTCTGCATCTATATCCTTGTATTCCTTTATAAGGGAGGGGGAGGATAATAAATCAGTTGATCTTTATAAATGTGTAATAATTTTGATCTTTTAATTCTATTACAATCTGGTTGTTCCACTATGAGAGAAAAGTGGTAACAGATGAAAAATGCAAAATTTGAGTTTCAGTTGAACATCAATAGCATTGTCTAATAGCAATTGCAAATAGGTTCAGGTTCAGAAATACGTTAGCCATTCTTACGTTGTTTTAAATATATTTACAATTTCATTTTCTAGGTAACATTTAGGCATGATTCATCAACTTTAGAAGTTCAGGATGATCACATAAAAGGCCCTTTAAAGGTAACATATTTGAATAATTGCTGAAAAAATGAATAATTCTTGGAAAATTTAGAGTGTATTTGAAGTGTATGAGTGTATTTGAAATATATTAAAATTGAACCAATATAGCATTGATATTATCCTCTGAATACAAACATTTATTATTTAAAAACACTGAAATGTAATTTGCAGAATAATGTTATGTGTGGTAGGATTTAAGAGCCTATTCCTGTGGTAAGATTTTGTTGTTTTCTGTATAGTGAATAGTAGAGAACAATACGTAATGTATATTTATTCATTCAATTTATATAGTAGCCCATCTCAAATAAGTGACACTGGGCAGTTATATAAATTGAATATTTGTTGGGTATCAGTCAACATCTTCTACTAAATACTTGTGGAAGTGTAATTGTCTACATATAAGGCTCCTTGGAATCCACTTAGGAATTTGTATATTTCTATTAAAGATGTATAGAGATTACCAGTGTGCAGCCTGTGAACTTCAGGCTGCAATCAACTCTCAGAATTTTTACCTTCAACCTGCCACGGGTCCCCATCTCTGGAATACATTTATCTTACAGGCTTGACATAAAACATGGCTGGAGGGAATGTTATTGTTGTATGAAAGAAATACTCATCTCTTTTTCACGAGTGCCAATCACTGAGCTCATCAGTTTCCCAGAAAAAAACCTTAAGCATATAAAGGAAAATTCCTAGTAAAAGAAAATCTGCACAATTTTTTCTTCTAGAAATTTTTGAGAGAATCATCAGGCAGGTGACTGGTGTCAGTAGGATATAACACTGTTGCATAATATACCAGGATTTTCATAAAGCTTTGACCGAGTTACTCTTCAAAAGCTCTTAAGTAAATCTGATGGTCATAGAATAAGAGAATCTATCTTTTTGTGATTTGCTAGCTGAGTAAACAGGAATAACTTCATAAATTATTTTAATGTAGGAGTAAGCAATGAATTGGACAAATTTGCAGATGATATCAAATGATTTGAGGTAATGAAAATCAAATGTGATTGCAAGAGCTCTAGAAGAGTCTGTTTAAACTGAATAAATGGTCAGTCATATGGAAAATGAAATACAGTTAATTTAAGTAAATATAATATGATACAAAGTTTTGGGATAAATTTATCATAGACAAGTCTATCAGTCTTGACTATTCTGTCACATCTCTACTTTGGGGGCCACATGCCTTCAAATGCAACAGTGGCAGGAAAGACATAAGGTCTAAGATGGGTTTTGATGTGATCCAACAAAGCTCTTCTTACTATTCTTTTATATAATAGTAAGTACTCTGGAAAGATTTCTCATAAAAGAGTAATTTCTGGATACTATGTAATTTAGAAAATGGCAGTCTGTTTTCTGACTTAAGACAATCCTTCACCTCCCCTTCCTTTCACTTTTTGCAAGGAATGTATGGACTGTACATTATGTTAAGTAGTATCACAAAAATTGTTCCTAATTGAAATACAGTCCTTTATTCTACTGAAATGATATATTTCCCTTTATACTGGTGAGAGAAGTTCCTGTATTATAATGTTCAAACTGCACATTGCAGTAATATTCTAGGCATCTCTTAGAAAACAAAGTATCTCCTTATGACTAATTTCTTTTCATTATCTTTAAAATGGAAATCAACTGCAGTCTCCTGTGATGGAGAGAAAGTAGTTTCCTTTTGCTGGCTATAATATTAATTGATCCTTACCTTTGTACTCATAGAAAATATAAAAGTAGAAAGAAAGGAAAGATGGTGATTAACAAAAAGGAATATATGAATATTAAATTGAACATTTAAAAAAATAATTGGTGCTTTCCTTTCTTTCTTGTCCAAAATAAGTCTTTTATAATGATTAGAGATATTCTCTTCAATCTTCTTTGATATGCAGAGAAGTTGAAACTATATTGCACATAACTCTTTCAGACTTTTAACCCTCAGTACTAAGAAGCTTGTCTGGCTTTTGTTTTAGGTACTATTTTAGTGAACCATTTTGACATCAACTCTTTTTCACCATCTGCTGGCAGTAAGGAAGTAATATAAAGCACATCATGTACATAAAAAAAGATTTTTTTAAAAAACAATACCTCTTTTACAAATAATTTGAACAAGCTGATCAATGATTGTTTTACAAATTCTGCCCTTATCCTAACTGGAATTTTTAAAGACTAGTTCACACTGCTATAAAAAAGACTAAAATGATTTTCAAATCTCAATATATATAAATTAACTTTTGCTTTATAACTTAACTGAACATTGGGATTTATTTATAGTACTCCTTGTAATGCCATCCATACTTTGTCCCATCTCTGTGGGACAAAATTAAGCTAAATGTGTATGTATCATGGGTGTTTCAGTCATGTGTGAATAAGATACTTTATTACATCTTTACATTGGTACATTTCAGTAGTATATTGTCACATTTCAATAGCAGGAATGTTATACTGCTATAATTTTTCCTCTGTTTTGAAAAATTGTCAGTATAAGACTCTTAACTGTTCAGAATACTTTAGCAATAGAATTTAGGTAATTGTAATAAAAGTATTTTCATTTCCAAAATAAATTTAGTATCCATATTGCAAAACTGTGCTACTCAGGTGTCATGGCTTTTTATCCTTGTTGTATGTGTATTCCTGAAGGACAGAACTGTTGTAATAAAAAACAGTCTGAAATGTGCAGTCAGAAAATAAAGATGTCTATTCCCTCCTTCCATCCCATCACTTGTGTAGCTTTGTCAATTTTTTGGATCTTCAACACATCATATTTTGTCTTTTTTTAAAAAAATCATTTTTATATACTACATTTTTATATACTATGTGCACCCTCAGTGTTGATTTCTGGCAACTGCCTGGAGAAATCCTTACAGTTTTGCCGGCAGGATTTTCAGTTTTTCCTTTGCTTCCTTCCTAAGGCTGAGAAAGAGTGGCTGGCTCAAGGTGAGCCAGGAGGCTTTGTAATTAAGGTGGGAATAGAATTAATGGTCTCCTCAGATTTCTAGTCTGGTGTTGTAACCACTACACCAAACTGGTTTTCATATGCTACTGTACATGAGTATAAAAACTACATTTAATAAAATAAGAAGTGAAGTGCTTCAGTGTTTCATAACCAAGTGCCTCTTTAAAAACCTTTAAAGTTGTTTTCGTTGTAGGTAGGAACTGTGGTGGAAGTCAGGAATCCAGATGGAGCTTATCAGGAGGCTGTCATCAATAAATTAACAGATGCTAGCTGGTATACTGTAGGTAAGGAGACCTTAAATTTCTTTTTACACAATCGAAAAATTAAGTTTGGAAAAAAGGTACTTTTCCCTGTAATATTCACCAAGGGATGGTTTTTGTATTCAATGAGTACTTTTAGTTTCAGTATAATATCTCCACTGAAATGGATATGCAATCATTTAAGAACGTTTTGGGGCAGAATCTGCTTGATAATGATAAAAAGACAAATAGAGATAGGAAACAAGAATTATTGAAAGTTGTGCAACAGCTTTAAATAATAACTTCTTGCCATTTCATAGAGGTTAGAATCTGACTCTGAACATTTTAAAACTTCAAGATATAAGTTGCATTTAAAAGGCCCTTTTTTGGTTCTTATTTTTGTGGTTTGTTTTTGTACTACTTCCATGCTATTGGGGCATCTCCCAGCTGCTTCTAGAACAAACTGCTGTTGTGTGTGCATTTTTCTTCCATTCAATCCTATCCAATTCTCTTGGCCTAGTTCCTGCAGTTTCCTTAGCAAGGTTTTTCAGAAGTGGTTTGCCATTGCCTCCTTCCTAGAGCTGAGACTGGTCCAGGGTCACCCTGATGGCTTGGTGTCCGAGGCAGTACTAGAACTCACAGTCTCCCAGTTTTTAGCCTGATGCTTAACTACTACATGAAATTAGCTCTTTTATATAGGTGGTTCTTGACTTATGACTAGTCACTTAGCAACCATTTGAAGTTACCTGAAAAAGGGGACTTATGACCTGGATCCAATTTCTGCCATTTTAATGGGCAGGCATTACAGTTGTAACTTGAGAACTACCTACATACATAAAATTTGCCAAACAAAATAGCCATGAGATCTGGATTGAACTTGGTAGTCCCGTTAACAAGTTATCATATGTCCCATCATCATAGTTCAGTACTATTATACAGTCATTGTCATTCCCTCTCCCTCTCTCTCTCTTCTCACACACACACACACTCACATACTCACTCACTCACTATAAAATATTATCTATCAAAATTTTAAGATTCTTCTGTCTGTTGTACTCTATCTCCCTTCTTCCTTTCTCTGACTTTCCGGCTATACTTTTTTTTTTTTTATAAATCACAATATTAAAGCAGTGGCTATGATACTGTTTCCTGACACAACTACAAAATGTGGAATTGATGTATAGTTTGTATAGTATTTTATAGTATTTTTGATATTTCTGATTAAGAGAAACTCTCTCAATATGGCTTAGAAATGCTACATTTACTTTTAGCTAGAAGTCATGATAAAATGATGAAAATATGAAATTCATGGAAAAAGTAGGCTCAGCTGTCTGTTTTACTGAAATTTAATTAAACTTAAAGAAATTTAAAAAAAAAACTATACAAAATTTTATATTGTGTTTTCATTTTACCATTGGTAACAGTATTTGATGATGGAGATGAGAAAACTCTTAGACGCTCTTCACTTTGCCTAAAAGGAGAAAGACATTTTGCTGAAAGTGAGGTAAACTTTTTCTTTTTAATGTAGCTGTGCTATAGAAATTAAGCATGCTCTGATGATATTTGCCCACTGATTAATGGAATGGAATGTATAAGTTGTGCTTCGCTGTTAGCAATGGGGTATAGTTATGAAATCTAGAAAAATATGTAATTCTGATAAAGAGAATCTCTGTTACTGTCATGTGTTCATGTGTCAGTGGCTGGAATAGCATACTTTTTATTTCCAAATTAGCTTCCTATAACTGGAAAATTAGGCAAAGACATTTATTTGTACAGTAAAATGTGTGTTTAATGGACATTATAATTAGATTTCAGTTATGGTAAGAGGGGTTAAAAGTATAGAACAGTGTTGTATAACTCATACTAAGAACAAATAATTACCTAAAGCGGAATAATTTGCAATAATAAGAAATAAGAACCTTTAAGTTAATTCAAAAACACAAAAAAAGAGATATTGTAGTTTTAATTCTTCAAGTGTACAGTCTCCTCATTTTGATTGCTCCTCTATTGCATCTTCTCTCCTGCACATAAAAAAAGTATTTTATGTCGGATGAGGTGAGAATGATCTTTTTTTTTCTTGTCTTGTATGACAAAAATGGAAATAATGCAGAAGAAACAATGGTGGATAACATTTATTGCGTTGAGTTATCCCATGTGGATTGTCCCGCAGCAAGTTGGCTGCAGCAAAATGGCTATGGCAGGTTGGCCGCGGGGAATTATCCTAGACCCCTTCCATGAGAAGACATGACCACAGGAAAATGGGGCTTTGGCTCTATCTTCTGAATAGATATTCCCCATCCAAAAACCTTGCCCCTTTATGTTATTTACCTTACTGAAGGTAGGAAGGGAGAAAATGGCATTTGGGAGAGATTTATGACCTCTATAAAATAGTATCCCTTTGTAGATACTCTGTTGTGTTGTTTGTATTTCTTTCTGTTTTCATGCTCCTTGCAGCTTTGTTCATAATAGGGCCTCCTGTTTGAATGATTTTTTCAAAGAAATGTGTTTGTTCATATTCTGACAAATCTGTGTTGTGAAATTCTCTTCAGTAATTGAAAAAATAATGTTTTTGTCAACAGACATTAGATCAGCTCCCTCTTACCAACCCTGAACATTTTGGGACTCCTGTCATTGGAAAGAAAACTAATAGAGGAAGAAGATCTAATCACATGTAAGTTTGATATTTATCTGATTCATGACTATCTTAATTTTAGAATTATTTGAACTGAGTAAAAAAGCAGCATATAATTCAAAGTAGAAGTTGAAAATGTGGGAAGTTACCTGAGGAAATAGGAGCAAATCTTATGGTTGTTTTTTTTAAATACAGGCAAGGTTTAGAATGGATTAAGGAAAAGTCTGTTATTAATCTCTTATATCTACAGTTTAGATCGGCATAAGCTTACTGGAAGAACTGTGTAGCTCACTTAATTGCTTTATACAAAGGGCAACACATTATTTCTGAGAAGCAAGGTAGAAAGGAAGATGTTCTGTTCCACTGTTTACAACCTAACAGGAAATTGAATGGTGTTATGAAGGTGTATTCCATAAGTTGCTGAAAATGCTTTTGATCATCCTGAATATACTGCTTATTCATTCAAATGAATACTCCCCTTTTGGAGGCTGAGAGTTGGAGGAACATTGCATATGAAAGTATAAGCTTTTCTTTGTATTTAGTAGCACAAAATTATTAGCTTCACTACTGTGCATAGGATGTTGGTGAAAAATATGTCCTGAAGGCTTTAATCCAGCTTCATGATAAACACTCTAAAAGATCCTCAACTCTACCTCAGTAGCACCGTTGAATGTCATCTGACCCGAAGGGACCATCATCCAGCACTATATAGCTGCTGATATCTAAAGCAGCATTATGGCGGAAACATGGAACATAACCACCATGAACATGGGAAAACTCAACACAGTGAAAGATAAAATAAAGCGGCCACATATTGATCTCTGAGGCATCAGAGAATTAAGATGGACTAGAATTGAACACAGAAGATCACATTATTACTTTGAGCACAAAAGACAAAGAAGGAATAGCATTGCTTTTATAACCAGGAGAAATATAGCAAGAATAAGATTTAACTGCAATGCAATCAATGACTTAACAATACAATTAGACTTTAATATAATGATTATCCAAGCTTATGCTCTAACACTGATACAAAAGAAAAGGAGACTGATGAGATTTAGCAGGAAGCTGATGTGTTCAAGATGAAATTGACAAAAATATGCAAGCAAGATATGCCACCTGTAGTTGAAGACTGGAATGCAAACATTGGAAATATTAAAGAAGAAAATAAAATTTGGCCTAGGAAAATGAAATAATGTAGGTGAATGACTTACCAATTTCTAAAAATGACTTAGCAATTTCTGTGAATCAATTATTTCTTTTTCAAACCCCCCCCCCCCAATACTGACATTACAAGACATTACCATACCACTCCTTGTATCATTACCATATGGAGTGTACAGAAATCAAGTTAACTATATTACAAGGAAGTGGAGAAAGTCAGCTATAACAGTAAAGACATAGCCAATGATTGACTGTGGAATGGATCATAAACTTCACATGTGCAAATTCCAACGTAAGCTAAAACAGCAGCAGAAGAAAGCCAATCATTTTCCATGATCTGATCTTGACTTGATCAAACAGAATTTCCAGAATCACTTTGAAGTCCTAANATCTCATTGACAGGGAAGCAGAGAAACTGTGACTGAAGTCAGAGAAGTTCCTAAGGATGAATGTGAAAAGAGATTACCAGAGACCAAGAAGCAAAAGAAAGAAAACTGGATGTCAGAACAAATAGTGGGAAATTGCCAAAAAGAGAAGTGAAGCCAAAGCCAACAAAAACAAAAATACCAGAAGAGAACTTGACAAAGACAGTATTGTAAAGACATTAAAGTTTGTAATAGACATTAAATAACAGGAAAAGATCTCAGAATTTCCAAAAGATTTTAGAACTCAGAAAAAGGTTCTAATGTTGAATTGGTATGCTAAGGACACCATTGGACAGATAATAATTAATTCCCAGAAGATCAAAAAAGATGGAAGGCATCTAAGGAGTTATGAAATCCTGTACAATAGAGACGTCAGAGTCAGGATAACTTAGAAGATAATTCCTACTTATAAGAATTTCTATGATGGCAATTGAAACCAGGACAACATAATTTAAAGTATTACATCATAATTAAGGCTGAGTCAACATACCTTTTAATGCTGTATTACTGTGTTAATGAAAAATTGTTAATGAAAAATTATTGATTTTACTATGCATCAGCCACCATATTAATTAATTTATTTATTCCATTCACTCATTCTATAGTTCTCCCCTCTAGTTTGCTGTAAAGTCATAAACTATAAGCCAATGACTAAACAAAAATGCACTTTTCATACTAATTCTAACTATAAATTGTATAATAAACATTTATATGGTGACACCTTTTCCCTTATAGCCCAGAAGAAGAATCTTCCTCATCCTCAAGTGATGAGGATGAAGATGACAGAAAACAAACTGATGAATTATTAGGAAAAGTTGTATGCGTAGAAACTGTTAGTACGGATAAAAAGAAAAATATTTGGTTTCCAGGTTTGGTAAGTACTTACTTTCTGTATTCTTTTTTAAAAAATTTGAAATAGATAATACAGTCCTAGAAATAAGACTGCAATTTTAGTTGCAATCTTTAATAAATCAGTGCTTTGATACAAAGCAAATAAATGCAGAATAACACACAATTTATTATATGTGCAGGGGACTACATTAATAAAGGCCTTATTTTAACATTTTGATGCTTAATAGCTGCTAAAACAAGTATATGTAAATTGGTGTTTGTATGTACTCAATATAGAGTATATGTTTATGAAAAACGGAACCCTATTTTGACTCATTTCCTTTTTCAAACACTAAATAAACTATTAACATTTTTTGCTGTTGGTCTATCAAGCCACATAGACGATTTGAAAAGGCAAAACCTGCTGTATTATGATACAAAACTTATATTTTGGTGGAACGCTTATATTCAGAGATGGTGTAACCTCTGAATATCAGTTACTGGGATGCAAATCGTAGGATTAGCTTTTAGAATTGTGTTGCAGATACAGTTCCAACAGAATTGACTTCATGCATATACTATACAGATATCTAATGTGAGGAGGCCCTTGAATCAGCTGCACCAAGCCTTGAGAAGATGAATTCAGAGAGATGCTTTAATCATTTTACACAGCCTTATTAGTTACTGGCTTTATATCTTGCTTGTAGTTTTCCCATGGTTAAAAACAGGTGCTGGGTTAGGCAAAGGACTTTTCTTATGTTTTAGGTTATTATGTAATAATAAGAGTGTGCCATTAGTACAGGGGTGTCAAACTTGCAATGTCACGTGATGTGACGTATCACGACTTTTTTTCCATTGCCGGCAATGGGGTGGACGTGCTTTCGCCATGACACATCCCACCTGCGGGCCGGCTGTTTGACATTCTTGCATTAGTAGAAATAAAGAAATAGTCCAAATAAGTATATTTTATTCTACTGAGAGTTGGATAAGTTGATCAGTGTTTTCCCGAAAGTAAGACCTACCCCGAAAATAATCCCTCGCTTGATTTTTGGGGGTGGGCCTAATATAAGCCCTACCCCCCAAATAAGCCCTAGTTTTGGGGCAAAGTGCACCCCTAAAATCAAGCTGGGGGGAAGGGGGGGTGGAGCTGCCCCACGCGCCCTGCACCTGTTTACCTTACCGGTAGGCCCACCGCATCCAGGCTTCCCTTGCTCTGACACTTGTCGCACTATGTGGCTCATTGTGCCATTGCCGTGCTTGTGGTAGGAGGCCGCATGTTGCTTCGGGCTGTTGCCATCGGCCCAAAGGACCGCACAGCCTCCTACTGTGAGCATCGGCACTGGCCCAAAGTGCTATGCAGCCTCCCGCAGTGGCAGCAACAGTGTGAAGCACTTTGTGGCCTGTGAGTGGCAGCACCGGCGCAATGCGCCACATGGTGTCTGGCCGCAAGTGGTGGCAAGTGGCCGTTGAAGAAGTCAACCCAGTGGCACAACAGGTGTTGGGGCATGGGAGGCCTGGCTGCGGCAGTCCTAAGGTAAGACGTCCCCTGAAAATAAGACCTAGTGCCTCTTTTGGAGGCAAAAAAAATATAAGACTGGGTATTATTTTCAGGGAAACACGGTAACAACAACAGTAAAGACTAAGTAGAACTTCTTACTGTTTTTTTGAGATGATTTTAAAAGCTATCATTCCACTGGAAGTCGGCAGATAAATAAAATTTCTTTTCTGCTAATTTAGAACATAGGTTTGCAATCTGGAAAAAAAATCCTGGAGTACATTTTTAAAAGTCATTTCAGTTTAGTCTCATAATAGAAGTTGGAAGGGTTATCATGTATACTGTCAGAGGTCTCCAACCTTTTTGGTTTGGCGGCCCAGAAAAGGAGGCAGGCACTGCTATGTGTGTGTACACAAATGGCCCGCGTGCCTGTGCACACAAAAATGAGTCCCATGCCCGCATGGGGAAATGGGCCGCACATGAGCACATGCGCACATGCAAATGGGGCGGCGCGGGGGCGAATGCTGCAAATGGGGCGGTGCTAGCGCTGGCAGGATGCTATGGGTGGCACTAGTGCCAGTGGGACGCTCTGGGGCGGGACGGTGCTAGCACCGGCAGAATGCTTAGGGCGACGCTAGTGCGAATGTGGGGGAATGAGTGCACGCACATGTGCGTGTGCACTGGCCCATCCCTTCACGTGGCCCGGTGGCCAAGTGGCTGCAGCTGGGTAGTGGGCCATGGCCCACAGGTTGGGGACCCCTGTACTACATCACTTATGAATCAGACCTCTAAGTTCCATAAATTGACTTTATAACCATCAAGTAATACCAGGATTGCATGGCTTAATTTAGGTTAATCAGAAGCTTACAGTTATATAGTGCTGCTATGAAACAGGCAGTGCGATTTAAATAGTAGCTCAGTAGATCTGAGATTACAGCAAATCGTCCATAGTGCCCAGAAATTTATTAAATACTGGCAGAAATATCACATGCATATGAGGGTTGACGTACGTTGAGATAGCTTACCAACATACCTTTATTTGTGTCTAGCTTCCACTTCTGCATCAGAAAAGTAGGGAAAGTTTGTTTTTTAAAAATTTTGTGCTGAGTTTTGGAGAAGTAGAGATTGCAAGAGGCTTTCTTCTTCTTCTTCTTCTTCTTCTTCACTTTACATCAGGGTTTGGTGAAAGGGAATTCCACTTAAAGGAATCCAGTTTGTTTTCTTGTCTAAAAAGCAGGTAAAAATAAAAGAAAATGCCCTTCTGCTCAAACTCATGCTGCACCCAGAGGCAGGCAACCTCTTTTCTCTCAGTCAACACAGGGCTTTTAGGAAAATAGAAGTTGCAGTGCTCAAGTTTCTTCTTCTTTCACTCTCAGATAAAACTACTTTTCCCCCTCTGCTGTGTTTTTTTCAGATGGCAGAGGATGATGGAGGCCAAGGGTTTTGTTTTTCATGCAGGAAACAATTTAAGATCCTTCCCCCTCCCCCGCCCACCGAGTTACTTGAAATATCTAGAGTAGTTGGAAAGGGGGATTTTGTATGCTGACCGACCATGCCAATAACAACCAGATGTGTAGACCTTACCATATGCATACAAATGCGTTTTTATGATCTCTTAGATAATTTTAAATAAAGTTTCTCTAATAATTATATAATTCTTTTTATTTTCTATGTAGGTGGTTTGTCCAGATTGCAGTGATGAAGTTGCAGTAAAGAAAGATAATGTTCTTGTTCGTTCTTTCAAGGATGGCAAGTTGTGAGTGAAACTGTTTGATTTAATTACTATTTGTCTAACATCTACGATGTAACTAAGAGAGATGGCAGATGGACACAGATCTCTTTTATTCATGGGAATGAAGGGGAGGGGATAGAATGAACAAAATAATTTTGCATCTTGCCTTCTCCTTTCATATATGAATGCAGAAAACAGTGTGCTGTTTTGTATTAATATTGACGTGCATGGATAGAATATTTCTACAATTTAAATGTTTTTTCTGCTGTAGGATTTCTAAACAAAGTGTTATTTCCTTGCACAATATGCTTGTAAATAATTATGATAATAACAATGTGGTATTATTTTAATCAGTTTGAAAAGTGCCATGCAGGTAGTCTTCTAGTTATAACCATAATTGGGACCAGAATTTCCATTGCTCAGCAAGGTGGTTGTAAAGTGGGTTGTGTCTGATTTTATGCCAGGTTTCACTTTGTTGTTAAGCGAATCACTGCAGTTGTTAAGGAAATCACATGGTCTTTGAGCAAATCTGGCTCCCCTCTTTGATCTAAAATCATGGAACTTCCCTCTGCATCTACTATATTATTTCAGGAAAAGACAGCTGATTTTATTTTCCAATCTCATTAGCATGTAGGTTACCCAACCTAGGATATCATAGTCCAGTCATGTAATCATGGAATGGAATGGAATAGAATGTGGAAGGAGCCTTGGAGGTCTTCTAGTCCAGGGATGGGGAACCTTGGCTCTTTTATGACTTGTGGAGTTCAATACCCAGAATTCCTGAACCAGCCATGCTGACTCAGGAATTCTGGGAGTTGAAGTCCAAGAGTCATAAAAGAGCCAAGGTTCCCCACCCCTGTTCTAGTCCAACCCCCTGCTCAAGCAGGAGAACCTATACCATTTCAGATGAGTCTAGCTTCTTCTTAAAAACCTCCAGTGATGGAGCGAAAATAGGGCTCGTCTGGGATTTGAACCCAGGACCTCTCACAACCTAAGCGAGAATCATACCCCTAGACCAACAAGCCATTGAATTGAAAGGAACTTTAGCGTAGTTTGTTGTAAAGAAACTTATTTTGAAGTAGATATAATTGTTCTGCTAGGCAGTTATCTGTGTTTCATCATTAGGAAAACTGGGTGTTCCCCTTCCTGTTTTTTTATTCTGAGTTTGGATTTATAGCAATTTTTCCAATTGTTATTTAAGAAAACATTTTAGCACTGTTTAAAATTTCAGATCAAAATCTTAATTTTTCTTTTCTAGCAATAACTGATTTACACAAAGTAGTTTAAGACAAAATATTTTCCCCAAAAAAGTTTTCAATTTTTTAAAATTCCTGTTTGCTTTGTAATGGTAGGAGATCCACATTTTATGGATAATTAATAATAAAAGATTGCTTTATTTAAATAGAGATTGCTTTATTATCAAAATATTTAAAATATTTATTTTTTAAAATACTGTTATCACAATTTGTTTAGCTCTTCAGTATCAAGAAAAGATGTACGGGAAATTAGTGAATCTTCACCAAGACCTGATGCTGCATTAAAACAAGGTAAAAATTAACTTCAAAATTAGACTGCTTTTAATCTCAGTTATAATTAGCTAGAACAGAAATAAGTTTAGACTAGACTGAGAATTCTAAAAAATGTTTCCAGGAATGCCAGGAATATCATATTTTATTTTATTATTTATTTTTCTCTACCTTTTAATCAGAATTTCTGTACTTTTACAAGTGTGGACTTGTAAGAGGGCCACAGAGGGTGCCTTATGAGAGAAAATAGGTAGTATTGGTCTGAGACATAGGGAAAAAAATCAAATGCCAAAATCTAAATATTCATCTTTTCCTGGATTGAATGGATTGGATTTTCTTTGTTTTTAAAACTGCATCATGCCTATTTTAGATTTTATATTATAATAATTATGTGCTTCCTGTTCTAAAATGACAGGAAATCATGCCACCAGTTTTCAGCAGTTGTGCTGCCTACTTTAAATAAAAGAATAGTCTATCAAGCCTTGATACCATCTCTAAGTTTGCTGCATAATTAAAAATAGAACCGACAGTAGATATCAAGTTATAGAAATTAAAGGATTAAAACATTTTCAAGCTTAAAAACAATTTGAGAGATTGTATGCCTAGCCATAATGTTTATGCCAAAAGCAGTGTCTTTAATTGGTACCTTAAAAATGATCAAACATGGCAAGGTTAGTAGCTACAACTGAAAAAGCTATATTCCTTATTGCTGTCAATTATACTTTAGGAAACTGAAGAATTTTAATTAGTAGCTTTGATCTTCATAATAAGGGATATTTTCATGGAATGAAACATTTCTTTAGGTACGTGAGTCCCTATAGCCATATAGAAGTTTGTTCAGTTCAATGAAGACATTGTCTTTGAATAGAAGAAGCTCTGACTTAAATTAACTATAGATACGAACTTGCAAGCAAGCTAGAAAATGGAAATCAAGTTAAACCAAGACATACAATATGTCTGCCTTGTTTAGAAAGCCTTTAAATTTTTTAAAATTCAGACATAAGCTATTGCTATTTTTTTTTAACTTTTTTTACTCATTCACACTGTTCATTCGATTCACTCACACAATTAAATAGAAGAAAAGGGACTATATAGCTGCACAAAATCCATATTAAGTCAGAATGTGACTATTTCAGGTAGGTCATTCCATCCTAATAAAATTAATTTATTTACAGCTTTCGATCAGGCCTTAGAATTCTGTAAAAATAGAACTGTTCCTAGTAACTGGAAGACCGAGTTGAAAGAAGAAAGTTCCAGTAGTGAAGCAGAAGAGGAGGATGAAGATGAAAAGGAAAAAGAAGATAATAGCAGTGAAGAAGAGGCAAGTATAATCCTATGGTGTAATAGGTTTGTATTACACTGCATGTGCCAAAATTTGTGTTTGTAAATCTTGCTAGTCACTTCTCTCAAGCTTCGTACAAGCAGTAGTGAAAATCAGTATTCGACCAAAGTGAACCTCAGGAGAACTATACCTGGATTCTTTATTCAAGAATAATAGCTTTGAATAATAGAAGGAATATGTAACTATAAAGCTAACGATATCATCATTGCAATCATAGCTATGGGTTGAGGTCTTGAAGTATCAGCAAATGTTTATCAGAATGAAAGCTCAGGAATCCACAATAAACCATATTGTTTTTTAAAGGAGAAAATTTTATTCCCAGTTCACAGCTTTAATCAAATAACATGCAATAGATTAAATTGTATTTAGTCAGATATAATTGTACCAAAGTGTTCATTTTGGCACTTTAAAGCTTCAGTCCTGTAGAAGCTTTCCAACAAAGCAATACTAACTTCTCAGTAGAACTTCATAAAACTGTAATTTTTGTATGCATTAAATTTTCTGTATTTTCCCACGGTGGAACTCTCTAATATTTTGAAATAAAATAGATTTGAAAAAAGAATATTAGTTTAAAGATAAAAAAAATTGACCTTTAGAGTAAAACATTAATAATATCCTTTAATATTATGATGATGATTTTTTATTTCCTTGTTGTTGGTTTTTGAGATGGCAGGCTATGTAAAAAAAAAATACTATTTATTTATTTCATTAGGAAGAAATAGAACCCTTTCCTGAAGAAAGAGATAACTTTCTGCAACAACTTTATAAATTTATGGAAGATAGAGGTGAGCATTTTTGTACAGCTTGTTTAATTGTATGAGAATTTAATATAGTTGTGAATCACATTGCTTTTCATTCCTGATAGTTGAGTGTGTTCCTTTTTAATATTTTCATTCTTAATTAATTAATTGTATACATAGGAATAAAAGATAATTACAAATATTTTAGTATGTAGTGTTACTAAGGTAGCTTACTGTTAAAGTTATACTTAAAAAAATAATTAAAAGGCTACATTTTTTTAAAAAAGCCCTCTCAAATGTATTTATATGTTTGCACAACTTGTAGGTTGCCAGAACCAAGCGTAGCCCACCAAGCAATACTTTCACTTGTCAAGTGACTTTTTTCCAGTTGTTGCAGTCCTAAGCAGGCAACTAAAATAGATTATCCTTGCTAGCTCCTATATTTGGCAAATAAAGAATTATGGGGATAGGAAGGAAAATCATCCATGGAATTCCAATTTCTTCCTCCTCTGAGGTCTTCCCATGGTCCAGATCAGATGGGATGTTGGGAAGAATATTGTAGGAAAAATATGAATTCTCTAGTTATTTGCCAGACACACATTAGCAAATGCAGGATGTTAGCCAAAATTTCTAGTAACATGACTTGGTGTTAGTTTTGTAAATGGTTTTTATCATAAGGTTTCTTGTTAAGTGCTGCACTCTATTTTGTTTTGACTACCTCCTAGGTACAAGTTTCTCTAATTATTTGGAGAATTATTTTCTTATAAATATTATGTAGCTTAATTGGGAAGACAAAGCTTTAATTGAATTCTCTACACATTTATTTGGAATAAGTAGCATTGAATATGGTTGTGATTATTTTGACTAAGTATGAATAGAATGTATGTTACATTATTTTTATGTGAGACTAAACTTCTAAATTTATTTTCAGTAACGTTTATATGAAGAATTCTCACCATGCTCAATCACTTAATTCAAAATACTTTGTTTCATAGGGACTCCTATTAATAAACGACCTGTCCTTGGATACAGAAATTTGAATCTCTTCAAATTATTCAGACTTGTTCATAAACTTGGAGGATTTGATAATGTAAGTACTATAAACTATAGTAAAAAGAAAAAAAAATAAATCTAAAATAACTATAATAGTGTCACTTTATGTAGCTTTAAAAAGAGTTGTAAAGAAGATGAGAACACAACTTTTAAGGCAGTTGTGCATATTTGTTTTTCTTATACAAAGAATAAGAAAGTAACATTCTCCCATTTGTGCTAGATACATTTATAGAGATAACTGTACATACCACAAAAATGTCATTAAACAAGTACTACAAGATGCAGTTCTTTTTATATATGAAAAGTTTTAGCGCTAGAAGAATAACATCTAAAGGAACATGAAAGTACAAAGATATTTATATTTATACAGCAAAGTTGTGGCTTATGGAATATGGGCTGACTGTATTTTGTGCTTTTTGTAAGCATAGCAATTGCTTAGAATTTGGTTGCTTTTATGTTTTGTCAGACAGTCAGATGTTTAGGCTGGATTTGGCATTTTTATCTACCTATCAAGTCCTTCTCAGGGACCTGGGATAGGCAGATATTGTTTAACGGTATTAAAGGTATAATTGCAGGACGAAAGTTGTTCCAAGTAAAACTGACTTTTGCAATTGACTAATGGGGATTCTGTCAATGCCAATAGCATTCAAGTGGTGCTCCACTTTGTTTGGAATTGTTTACAAGGTGTCTATTCATTGATAGTACTATTGGTACTATCGTACTATCTTGGCTGGTTTTTTTGAGATGTATTATTATTACATATACAAAAATGTAAAATTCCAGCTGCCAGTTCTTTAGCTGGTGTTGGTCTTCATATGCATTGAGTTCTTCCCAAGAACCTAGAATGTTGTAATATATTGGAATAGTAGTGACTTTTTGCAATTGAAAATTTTGTCAATTTTGTGCATGTTTGCTAAATGCTGATAACCACTGGGACTATCATGGCCAGTGTATGCCATAATCATTTAATTTTGATTTTCAGATTTTGATACTCCAATTTTTCATGTTCTATTTTAATATCTCCTGGTTTTGCCACATCAATTATCCATACTTTCTTCTTTTCAATCAAAGAAATCCCAGAATATTTTAACCTGCTAATTACAGGTAGTCTTCAACTTTCGACCACAATTGAACCCAAAATTTCTGTTGTTAAGTGAGACATTTGTTAAGTGAATTTTGCCTCATTTTATAACATTTCTTGCCACAGTTGTTAAGTGAAACACTGCAGTTGTTAAATTAGTAACATGGCTGTTAAATGAATCTGCCTTTCCCATTGACTTTGCTTGTCAGAAGGTTGCAAAATGATCACATGTGATCACATGATCCTGGGACATTGCAACTGTCATAAAATATGAGTCAGTTGCCAAGCATTTTAATTTTGATCACGTGACCCTGGGAATGCTGCAATAGTTGTAAGTGTGAAAAATGGTCATAAGTTACCTTTTTCAGTGCCGTAACTTTGGTCACTAGGAACTATTGTAAGTTGACGACTACCTGTAGTTTTCAATTCTATGTTCCCTCCATTTTTTTCATTACAGCATTGTGGCAACTATATTATGTTATTCTTTATAATCAACTTGTGCTATCTTGCATGAGCTGAGTGCATGATATACTGTTTCTTCTGTCCCTTTGCACAATGCACGTTGAATCATTTGATTTTTTTTTTTCAATTCTGGCCTTGATTAAATTGGTTCAAATAGCTTGCTCTTGATAAGCCAAAATTGAGACTTCAGCTTCTTCTTCTTTGTTTAGTTGTAAGATTTTATCTTTATCCACTTTCCCCTTGATTTTTGTAGAAATTGACTGTGATGCTTTTCTTTGCCAGCATTCTATTCTTGGTTTTATCATATTATTTCAATATTCATGTTTTGTTTCCTGCACATTCAGTAAGTTCAGTTTTAACTCATATCAATGCTTGTTCTTGGCTACCTTTATATAGTCAGCCAATGCACACTTTTCTTTTTTGACATTTTATTTGACTTGAAGTAAATCTCTGCCTCCATATCTGCGAAGCAGATAAAATTTATCAATATCACTATGGGGATTTTATGAATAATAAATGGTCATTAGCTGTCTTGTTTCTCAGTCCAAACTGTCCAGTTAATAATTCCAGCAGTATCATATCACAGCTATGGCCCTAGTATTGATGGCTTTCTTTTTAGCACTTTTCTTACTCTTTGGATGTATTCTTTACTAATCACATTTTTAACATGTTTATGCTTGATGTTATCCAGGCTGTAAAATGCCCAGATATTTGGGCATTTTGTAGGTTTCATCTTGTTGGCTCCTAATGGTTTGGGTGTTTGGCATTTCAGTTTCATTAACTGTTCATTTATTGCTATTGTAGCATACATCTGCTAAGCCAAATTCCATTGCTATATCTGTGTTAAAATATCTTACAGTATTTGTCAATGACTGAATTTTGATTTCTGATTTTCCACAAAGCTTGAGATCATCCACATAAAGAAAATGAAAAATTTTATCTGCATTTTTTTGCCATTTGGTAACCAAGATTTGTTTTGTTCAAAATCACTGAAAGTGGGATCATAGCAATGACAAATAATAAGTGATAATAAGTCACTTGAAAATGCTTCTGCTAATGTTGACACGCCCATACTTTTCATTTCCAACCACCATTTCTGTCTTGCCCCTGCTTCATGATTCTTCTACATACATTCTACAGCAATGCTTTTATTTGCCACTAGTTTTTTTCCAAACATTTGATGATCCAACTACGTTGTAGCTTTTTATAATCAATGTAGACCATGTAAAAATGGTTTTTTGCCTTTTTGCAGTTCTCCAGAACCATTTTATCAATCAGAAGTTGATCTTTTCCTTTTCCTTTTATTTCCTTTCTGTTCTACTGGAAAATAGTTATTTTCTTCTAAATCCTGAATGTTGTCTGCTATCATGCCTGCAAGTAATATAAACATTGTAGGCAAACATGTTGTTGGTCTATAGTTTCCTATGTTGTTTCTTTTGCTGGTTTTTTAAAAATCATCTAGGTTTTGTCAATGATTAATAAATTACTGATTTATTATGCAATACTTCATTAAGATGTTTAGCTATAAATTAAATGCAAGGTAGTCAGCTATTCGAGGCAATAGATGACTAGGTGGTCCACTGCTTCTTCAGCTTGTTTGCAGACACCACTTTTATTGTTGTTGTTATTATCCCAACAGCAACCGTTATTTTGTTTGCCGATATCAAAAATTGACATTGTACTGCACTAAGTTATTATAAATAATGTAATTTATGATAATGGAAGTTAATTGATACTTCCTTAAAATATTAAGTGAATAAATGATAGAATTGTAATCTAATATACAGGTAGTCCTCAACTTATGTCCACAATTGAGCCCAACATTTTCCTGGATGAGCAAGACAGTTGTTAAGTGAATTTTGCCCCATTTTACTTTTTTGCCATAGTTGTTAAACAAATCACGGCAGTTCTTAAGTGAATCATACAGTTATTAAGCAAATCTGGCTTTCTCTGTTGAAAGCTGGCTATGAAGTTTAGATATGATGATCACATGACCTCACCTCCCTGCAACTGTTGTAAATTCATGCTTGTTGCCAAGCACCCATATTTTGATCATGTGGCCGTAGGGGTGCTGCAACAGGCATAAGTGTGAAAACTGGTTATAAGTCAAGTTTTTCAGTGTCATTGTAATTTTGAACAGTTACTAAACAAATGGTTGTAAGTCAAGGACTAGTTGTAAACTATTTACTGGAAAAATAGTTACTGTGCCTGTGGCAGTACATTAATAAATTTTACTGAAAAGTGAGAAGATCAAGAGATTTCAAAATTTAAATTGTATTATGTTTTAGATTTCAATTTTGACAGCTTCATGGTTCTGCTGAGAAGGTGAGATTTGCTCACATATCTAAAAATAATAATCTGCAAATATAGAGTAGATTAAAGATAAGGTTCTTAAGAGTGTGATTAAAATGGACAAGATATAAGTGGTTTATTGGATATAATGCTAACACCACAATTTGTGAAATAGGGCTTGCATGGATTAATTTAAAGCAGTGAAATGACCACTGTGGGATTTAATATGCCAGACCCAATGATAATGTGCAGCTATAATATATTCAGTATTAATGAATTCATTAATTTTAAAACAAATCTGAAATTAAGAATTAAATATTCTTACCTATAGCAATGAAAACCTATTTTACACCCAGAAAACCAGAATTTATTTTAATTATCTATAAAATAGATGCTTGAAATAAATCTTAATTTGGGTTTACCAACTCATGGATTAATTTATATGTAATTTAGAATGGAGTCTAGTAATCACTTAGATATAATATATATTTTTTGATAAGGTAAGGTTCCATTTATCAGTCTATGTTTAAATTGTAATGAATAGAGATAACAGCCAGGAGGACAATAGGGCGTGTCTTCTTGAAGCATCCAGCACGCGTTTAAGCAGAAATGTCTAATAATGATTTTTGTTTGTTTTAGGGAAGGAAAGGTTAGTAAAAGAGAACTGTTTGCTTGGCATTTCATGTCGTAGCTTCTCCAGATAATTTTTAAATCCAGCTGTCAAACAAAAGAGGAATGATGTCTATGGAAATTCTCAGTCATCTAGGTCATAGTTATCCCAAAGATGCTTTTTTCACGAGGCAACTGGACTTTCTTGTTTTTCTTTCTTTGAAGACATTTCGCTTCTCATCCAAGAAGCTTCTTTAGCTCTGGCTGGATGGTGGGGAATGGAAAGATTTATACTCCTTGCAGACAGCTATTCATTTGCATTCTTTTAGCAAGTCGTTAATGCTACCGTTAATGTGTTCTCAGGGTCACCTGAGTGGTGCAAATGTGTGTGGAGCCTTCTTGGAACTGTTGAAAGGACTATATTGTAGACTGGAGATAGATGATGTTGGATTCCCTCTCCCTCTGTTGAGAGAAGGCTGTTCAATTTTGACATAGATGGCCTCTTTGACCCCTCTTTCAAACCAGCGATCCTCTCTGTCCAAAATGTGGACTTTGCTATCTTCAAGAGTGGCCTTTGTCTTTTAAATGCAGATGGACTGCTGAATCTGGTTCTGATGGGTTTATTCTCTTATGTTGTGCCATACGTTTATGAAGTTGTTTCGTTTCCTCAGTGTACAGATCTGCACACTTCTGCTTCTGCCTTAGTGAATTCTTGGGTTTGAAGTGTGCATGTATGTTGTGTTGGCAGAAGATCCTCCTTTGCTTTTTTGATATTTCTGCAACATATGTAATGACTACTACGTTGCTTCATTTATTCTTTTCTTCTTGGTCTGTTATGGAGGAGCTCCTGCTAGGTCTTTTTTGAGATTTGATGAAGGGCCACTTGGGATGTAAAATACTGTAAATATTGATCTCTGTGTGTGGGTTTTCTGTCTTCCTTAATGTATACAACACAGTCCAGGAAGGCTAGAGTATTTTCCTTAACATCTTCACATGTGAATTTGCTGTATCTGTCCACCGAATTGATGTGTTTAGTGAATGCTTCCAATTCCTGTGTTTTGATCTTGGTATAGATTGTCCACATATCTATACCACTGAGTGGGTAGAATTCCTATGAAGGAGTTTAGGGCTTTGGTTTCTACCTCTTCCATGTAGAGATTGGCCACAATGGGGGACACAGGTGAGCCCATGGCACAGCCATGTTTTTGTCTGTAGAAACCTTCACTGAATTTAAAATAGGTAGTGGTCAGGCAGAGGTCCAGTATAGCACATATGTGGTCTGGGCTGAGGTTGGTTCTGTCACCTAGGGTGCTGCAGCTTCAGTTGTTGGAATGCAAGTGAAGAGGGAAGTCACATCGTATGAAACCATGGTCTCATCCACGTCCAGTTTTATTTTCCAAACATTGCTGGCAAAGTCCTGTGAATTATAGATGTGATGAGTGGTGTTGCCAACTAGAGGAGCTAATATAGTAGTTAGATATTTTGCAGTGTTGTAGGTGACAGAGTTGATGCTGCTAACAATTGGTCTGATTGGTGTTCTGTCTTTGTGGATTTTGGGGAGTCTATATATGTGTGGCGTGGCTACCCCAGGGTAAAGATGGTAGTATTGTGGCTTGTCGATGGCATTGTCCTTTAGTAGTTGTTGCAAGAAATTAGTGACCTTTTTCTTGTAAATGCTGGTGGGATCTCTCTTCAGAGTCTCTTATGTGGCAGTGTCCTAGTTTAAAAGACTGTTCACCTTGGCCTTGTAGTCATCTGTGTTCAGGATGACTGCATCTTCCTTTATCCGCTGGCAAGATGGTGATGTTTGGGTCTTTTCCTAGGGATGTCACTGCTCTCTTTTCTTGAATTGTGAGGCTGGAAGGGGTTTTTTTTTTTGCACTGGCGAAGGCTGCAGATACCTGCAGCAGATTCAGGTGTATGCAGTACAATGCAATGAGCCATGTGCAGATCTGCACATTGGGGAAACGAAACAACAACTTCATAAACGTATGGCACAACATAAGAGAACAAACCCATCAGGACCAGATTCAGCAGTCCATCTGCATTTAAAAGACAAAGGCCACTCTTTTGAAGATAGCAAAATCCACATTTTGGACAGAGAGGACCTCTGGTTTGAAAGAGGGGTCAAAGAGGCCATCCATGTAAAAATTGAACAGCTCTCTCTCAACAGAGGGGGGGAGGGAATCCGACATTATCTATCTCCAGTCTACAATATAGTCCTTTCAACAGTTCCAAGAAGGCTCCACACACATTTGCACCACTCAGGTGATCCTGAGGACACAGATAAGCCTCTAGGTAGCATTAACGACTTCCTAAAAGAATTCAAATGAACAGCTGTTTGCAAGGAGTATAAATCTTTCCATTCCCCACCATACAGTCAGAACTGAAGAAGCTTCTTGGATGAGAAGCGAAATGTCTTTAAAGAAAGAAAAATAAGAAAGTCCAGCTGCCTCATGAAAAAAGCATTTTTGGGATAACAGAGGAATGATATATAGAAGGGAAGTAGTTAGTCATTTAATATAATTGCTTAAATTGGCCTTCTTTGTTATACATGGTACTATAAGTAAAGCTGTTGAATCATTAATAACAAAACTAAACAAGTTAAAATTATTTAACCTTCATGTAATATTTGAGGAATAAGCAAGATTATGTAAACAAATTCACATGTATTTAACTTTGGCTAAAAATTTCACGTGTACTTAACTTTGGCTAAATTTTTTTTAAAAGTTTGCTTATTGGTCAGTCTCATCAGTCTGTTCTGCTCTGTACTGACACACTATTGCTGTATAACATAGATATCAGTGGATTCTAGTGCTATGTCTCACTAAACAGTACAGCTTAGGCCACCTTTCTTTTTTATTCCAAGTCACTTACAATTTATTTGGGTAATGTGTCATCTGCCACAGGAAATTTGAAGTATTAAAAAATAGATAATCTCAGTCTCCTAATTAATTTTAAACATTTATATAGCTGCCCATCTTAAACCAAACTCAGGGTGGTTCACAACCCCAAAATAAAAGCATTATGCATCAACAATAAAGTAAAACACAACAAAACAAAGAACAACAATAAAGACCTTTCACTACAGCTAAATGTTCCTTTGCCACCCAACAAATTTGTCCCATGCCAGCTTCACCCTATCCCAGCACTTGGGAGAAAAGACTTAAAAGGGGGGGGAAAGACTTAAATCTTAAGTGATTTTCCAAAACTTAAAAATATGGGGGCCTGCTGGACCATAGGGGGAAGGGTGTTCCATTGGGCAGGGACTGATATGGAAAAGAGACACTTCTTAGATCCCATATGATGGCAACATTTAAGGGAGAGGACCCAGGAGGATGCCTACCCTATTGGATTTGGTGGGGTGAGCAGATGTCTTCAGGGAGAGGCAGTCCTATAAATTAGATGTTCTTTATTCAACTTAGATATACAAAATTTTGATATAGTAGACAATATAGGTAGTCCAGTTAAATCCTTTCACTTATAAATTTGATTCATCCCTTTCCTCCTCTATTCTAGAGGTTGGGCAATTCTTATTTGGAAAGGGGTAGCTATTCAAGAAGTGAAGGGAAAGGGACAATTCCATCATATGTCCTTACACTTCTGCATATATTAAACCTCTCAAGTAATGCATCTATAGTGAGACTTGGGCAGATGAAAATAAATTTCTGTACATCAAAGCAATAAGAAAGTATTTGTTTACATCATTTTTTTTCCTCTTGAAATTTCAGACCTTGTAGAATGAATTATTTTAATCATCAGGGTGTTATTTATTTAAGCCTAAACAAAAGGCTATTCTCTCATTATATTTTGCAGATTGAAAGTGGAGCTGTCTGGAAGCAAGTATATCAGGACCTTGGTATCCCCGTCTTGAATTCTGCTGCTGGATATAATGTTAAATGTGCTTACAAAAAGTAAGTAATTAATATAATACTGAATACTTCCGTTTGGCACTCAAAAACGAACTTTTTACTCCATATAAAAGTACATTCAGCTGTATAGGTAGTCCTCAACTTACAATCATTCATTCAGTGACCATTCAAAGTTACAGGAGTGCTAAAAAAAATGACATGGCCATTTTTCACACTTATGACCGTTGCAGCATCACCATGGTCACGTGATCAAAATTCAGAATTTGGGCAACCGGCATGTATTTATGACTGTTGCAGTGTGCCAGGGTCATGGGAACACCTTTTGCAACTTTCTGACAAGCAAAGCCAATGGGGAAGCCAGATTCACTTGACAACTGTGTTGCTAACTTAACAACTGCATTGATTCACTTGACAACTATGGCAAGAATGGTCATAAAATGGAGCAAATCTCACTTAACAGCTGTCTTGCTTAGCAACAGACATTTTGGGCTCAATTGTGGTTGTAAGTTGAGGACTACCTGTTTTGGGTTCTAAAACTGACCTTGAGGTTTGTACATGTTTTTGGGCTTTTACTCATCTCAGTCTTCCATCCTTAAGTCATTATCTGGACCTTTTGTGAATCTTTCCTAAACTACTGTAATTTAACCAATGAATTCATATCATCAAAGTGTAATTGTAAAGCAAACCAATGGAAACTTGATTTTGCTTGTTGCTATCATCTTTTAGGTATCTCTATGGCTTTGAAGAGTATTGCACATCAGCTAATGTTGAATTTAAAATGGCACTGCCAGAGAAAACATCAAGCAAATCCTGTAAGGAGCATGAACAAGAGGTGAAAAAGCAGGAAGAAGTTGAGCTAAACATAAAAGAAACAAAGGTGAAGAATGAAGAAAAAGATGATGAAATAACAGCAATGAACAAACAAGTCATACTAGCTGAGAATGAGACTGAAAAAAAAGAAAATGATAAAACTCCATCTTTGGTAAGAGCTACCTTTTTTGTTTCTTCCACAGTTCGGTTTTACTGCACAAATTATTATTATTAAATATCAAGGAATGAATGCCATTTGCAGAGTTAACAGATCTTCAACTTATTTTGGACAAAATAGATCTTTGGAGGATTTATTAGTTAAAATGTTTGCACTTCTGAATAAATATTAGTTTTTAAGAGAAACTTTTATAAGGCCAAATCACATGTTATTTGTGCCTTTATCAGCTTAACAATTCTTTTAAAATGTTATTTAGGATCTTTTGGATTCCATACTACCTGGACAAATTATATGCATGTGCTATATTTAAATATGGATAGATTTGCATAATTTATATCTAATTAGTGTACTTTTTAGATAGTGTCACAGACTGTAACATTTTTTCTGTTCAGAATAAAAAAAGGGGAAAGTAAACATGCAGCTTTTAAATTAGAAAAGATTTGGGACTTGGAATTACTTCATGAATCTAATCTTGCAGTTGTTATTTATGTTTAACAAGGGAAATATTAATCACAGCATGGTTACTGTGTAATCAACAAATAATGTATCATAGTAATAATACAGTACAAGTGAAGAATAATTATATCCACATTAGCTAATTATTTTCTAGAACATGTTCTTCTTTTGTATTCCTCACACAGGAAGAGAAGTGCAGGAATCATTCCAGAAAAAAAATATTAAATCCTTATGTAAGTGCACTATTTTAGGGAGAAATTTAAAACTACTACTAGTAGAGTTACCATACAAGTAATTCTATTGGTGGAAAGTGAAATTTCAGTTAGTATATAAAGGCCTAGTTGTGTGGTGATGGAGAAATGGGGAAAAGTCAGGAAAAATAACACTATTTTCAAACGCCCAAATGACCTTTTGAAAGGCACTTGGCAGGAACTGAGACTAACTGGAAAGGACACACAGAAAAGATAAAGACAAGCTCTCTGAGCTTGCTTGTTTTCTTGCAGATGTTTCATTACCCAAACTAGGTAACATCATCAATGCTAGTAAGGAGTGCTGTTTGCCCTCAGTTTATATCAGGGGTCATCAAAAGTGGCCCTTTTATGACTTGTGGACTTCAACTCCCAGAATTCCTGGGCTCAGGAATTCTGGGAGTTGAAGTCCACAAGTCATAAAAGGGCCAAATTTGAAGACCCCTGGTTTATATTCTAGTGCAGTGTTTCTCAACCTTGACCATTTTAAGGCATGTGGACTTCAACTCCCAGAATTCCACAGCCAGCAATGCCTTGAAATGGTCAAGGTTGAGAAACACTATTCTAGTGGCTTGCCTGTCAATTGGTGGGCGTGGTCAAAGAGAGCACCAAGGACCCCTCATGTCAACCCCAAGCTACAAATATTCTCTTTATTAGTACTTCAGTGATGGCTGAGTAATGCTGTAAAGACTGTAAAAACCAGTAGTGTGGAAATGACCTGAGTGAGATACTTTGCAACTGTATCATGAAATGTTATTGCATCCCGTTCATTATTTCAATCTGAGATACCACCAAAATCCTGATGATAATGGATTTGTTGCTACCTTATTAGAGTAGAACAAGCACTGCTTGATTTTGAAGATGATCATCAGTGATGTTATCCTGTTGAGTTCAGTGTCATTATAAATTTTAACTGAATATTGATATATATTAATACTGATTTATCTTACAGGTGGTCCTTGTTTAATGATCACCCATTTAGCACTCATTTGAACTTAAAATGGCGCTGAATGAATTGTAGTTACAACCAGACCTCATACTTACAGTTGTGTCCCACAGTTATGTGATTGTCATTTGCAACCTTCTCTGCTGGCTTTCCACAACCAAAGTCAATGAGGAAGCCAGCAAGAAGTCAGAAGTCGCAGACACTTGAGATCATTGCTTAACAACCTACAAATCCTTGTTTAACCAGCAGCAACTGGGACTTCTGGAACTGCTGTTGCTAAGTGGTGCACTTATATGCCTTTTCTATTTATGGCCACTTCACTTAACAATGGAATTTCCTTAATTAGTTCCATTAAACAAGAACTATCTGTATAGGAATACTTTCTTTAAAACAATCTTTTCATTAAAAATAAGGGCAAGAGTTAATATGTTAATATTGAGATATATATTATTTTCTGTTACAAAGAATTGCTATAATTAACAGAAGATTCTGAATTTCCTCTGTTCCATTTGGATGCAAATGGGCTGGCAATTTAGTAGTAGTTTGTTTAATGTTCATTCAGAAGACTCTTAAGATACTATTGACATCGAAGAAGTCTTCAAGATGCTTTTGTCTTTGAAGATTAGCCATTGCCTGGGAGGAGCTCCTTCCTTCCTTCCTTCCTTCCTTCCTTCCTTCCTTCCTTCCTTCCTTCCTTCCTTCCTTCCTTCCTTCCTTCCTTCCTTCCTTCCTTCCTTCCTTCCCTTTTCTAATCTTTTCTTCCCAATAAAACTTATACTAACTTCTTTTCATCTTTTCTACTGTAAAGAGAGAAGGATTACCTTTGGACCCAATCATTGCATACTAATTAAGGGTCAATTAATTTTATAAAAGGGCTTTATTTTACAGGCAATTTTAATATTTTTTTTTCAAGCTTGCCATCTTGGGATAAAGGCTACTGGCAAATATATATATGAAAATACATGAGTGTAGTCACAACACTGATGAAAAAATAACTTTGAAACCAATTTCCATATTTATGACCTTTGCTGTGTCTGTCTCTTTTAGTCACATGTTCAACATTACAATCCCTTAGCATTGTCCTATACCTGACCTGTGTCTCCCCCCCCCAAGCATAGGGATTGCTTAAACAAGCTATATCTTCCTGAGCTGCTTTTGTCTGCAGCACAGCACATCCCTGAAAAGAGCTAATCGCAAGTTAACAAGCTCAAGTCTTTGACCTTAATTAGAGTTAGACTCTCCCTTGCTGCCGTGACACTGTCAAAATCCTAATCAGTTTCTCATTGAAGGCAGTGAGTGTGCTAGGTAAATACTGGTACTAGCACATTCCTTTCAATGTGTACTCCCCAATATTACTCACTTATAATCTCAATGAATGTAAATGCAAACAGCAATTCTCTTCTTGCTAATTATCCCAGTGGTGGGATAAGCATTCCAAAAGAGAGCAGAGTGAGGGAAAAGGGCTATAACATTTGTCCATTTATCTGGTTTCCTTGTGGATCAAGTTCTGGAAGCACTTCCTGCTATTTGGGTCACTCAGTTGTTTGGGTTGTATCCTTCTGATGCTATTAAAGCGAAGGAAAACTGAAGTAAAATCATAAGTACAATCACAGCCATGTGATTTTCACCTAGCTTAATGACCAAGTAGTCTATCCCAATTGTGTAGTCTTTTGATTACAGATTTCCGTCCTATTTCTTGCTTGAAGTCATGTACATCATCCTCTCTTAAATATGCTGGACAAGGCACCAATTTGCAAGCAAATTTATTTCTAAGCATGTGCAGTTTTTCATACCTAACAATGAAGCTGATTCATAAACATCCATACCACACCTTTCATAGTAACAAAACATGAAAATGGACCCCTACTGTGGATGAGTAGTAAGGATGTGTTAATTGATTGTTGGTATTTGGACATTAGTTGGAAAAATGGCTGGTGCAAAGACAGTCCACTTTATAATTAACAGTTTCTTTAATTGTGAATGATAGCAATGTTCTTCTTTCATATAGGGGATTCAAAAATGTTTTCAGGAGCCTCCAAATGACCAGGAGAAAGAGTTAAGAATAACCATAACAAATGATGAAGCCAATGTGGAATGTAACGAAGACACAGAATGTAAAAATCTGGAAAATCAGAGCACCATTCCAGAAACTGAAGAGAGAGAGATAGCAAAGTAAGATTCTTTTGTTTTCCTTAAATTCTATGAAAGGAATAAGGTTTTTTAAATAGACTTTAACAAGATGTAAATTTTTAAAAACTGTGGGAAAAAATCGCATTTCTTATCACCATTCTGCCTTACTCAGAAATTTTGTGTTGGATATCCAGTTTATTTGCATTAGTGTTGTAAATGAATTTTTATTCTGGTTTCTGATTAACAGAAATTCTGTAGGTATTAAGGAGTTTGTTGAAGCATTTGCTGAAGTAGTTCTGCTCATTCTTCCATTCCTCACTCATTGTGTTCGGCTGGTCAGTATTTGACAGAATTAATGATTTTAGTAAAATCACTTGGAAATGAACATAGCATAGTATCTGTTATTTGGCTGTCATTTATTAGAGTAAGGACTCTAGGTAAATTTATCTTTAAGGCATTTAGATTTTGAGGAGGAAAGGACTCCCAGAACTAATGTGTAGGAGATTTTCTGTTCAAATTTTATATTGTATTATTAGTGAGAAAAGTGAGTTAATTTCTCAGTTAATTGCACTAACTGCCTTATTGAGAATTGCTATTACCTTTTCATAATTACATGTTTCCAGTGGTTTTGTTGGTGGAGTTTTAAAAATAGATTGTGACAAAAACCTGCTAAGAAAGTAGGGAGGTTAAGTAAAAGGAATCTTTTTAGAAAATGTAGGAAAGCACTGTAGGTATGGCATAAACTTGAGAAGTATTTTGGAAAAACTAAGTTGCCTTGCATACTTTAGAATTCATTAGCCTATGCCACCTTTGAATGTAAATGTTTTAACAATGTATCTGTAACCCACGGTAATGTTAAATACAGTGAAACCTCAACTTACTAAAGTTTGATAGACTTTAACATGGCAGTTTGTCATTAATAAAATGACATCGTTTAAATGACATACTGTACATGACATAATTTGCATCATTGCCATCACACAAATTATATTTGTGTCATTTCATGTAATGTTCTCACATGGATGCGAATAAATGTACAATTGATGCAAATGATACAATTTGTATAATCTAATGTCAGTATGAAAATGACATAATCCAATTATATGACTTATTTAATGGATATTTGTGAATATTGAATACTTCTTCTCCCATTAAAATGAAGTTTCACTGTATATTAGTACCATTCAAATGGCAATGTCTCTTACTAACCCAAAGCTTGATGTGACTCCCTTATATTTTTAGCTAATAAAATATTATATTGAATTTCAGCTTTTTAAAAAAGTTTATTTTACAGCCCTCAAAGGTTTCAGAAAATACTGGGCATAACAAGTAGAAATGTTGATTCTGGGTTGAGTATCATACAAAGATATTACCGATGCACCTAAAATACCTTAGTCATGTGATTGAAATATGCATTGTCATTCTTTTGTTTTAGGATATTGGGGCAATATCCTAACATGCTCCAGAATGTTTATTTGTATGTGTGTGCGTGCATGTGTGCACGTATGTGTAGGTGTGTGTGTGAAAGAGACAGAGAGACAGAGCAATTTACATTGTCAATGTAGTGTTTATATGATGTTTTAGATTAGAAGATACTGTCTCATAGATCACATTTACACCTGATGAAAGCATTAGTGATTTGCTTTTAGTTTGCAGTTTTCACTGTTCTTTTGTTCTACTTCAGTTCCATAGCTTGCATATATTGGTGTGGCTGTTAGGTCCCCTAGGTAACAAATGTATTGATGTCATTAAACTTAACAACCCTTTTTTGTATCTGTGGATGGAACACTGCAAATACAGGGTGTAGACATAGTCACACAGTTTCCTGTGTGGATGTTTTTTCATCAAAACTTCATTCTTGTGCTGGTTAATGATCATAGTAAAGACTTTCATCATTAAAAATTTATTCAGATATAGTGTTTGGTAATTTAGAAAAAAAAACAAGGTCTTGCTAAGGTTATATTACAACAACATAAAATATAATTGTAAAATTATTGCCATTAGGTTTCTGGCCTTTCAGACTTTTTTACTCAGTGCTTTCAGAGTTTGAAATTTTACATCTTTGTTGCGGCTTTATGCAAATACATAGGGGAATTCAAAGTTAGGTTTAGGCTATAATATGATAAAAGCAAACTTTTGAAACTACACAGCTACAAACATTCATTACTGAATTTTGTGGAATTCTGCTTGATATATTATAACATTAGATTACAGCATATAACTACGGCTGTTCATATTTTGTGATTAAAAGATATTTAAACTGATGAGATATAAAAGGATCCATTTTAAAGTTACTATATGATTATCATAGAACAGAATGTTTCAAGGTTATACATGTGTTTCTCTATCTATCTATCTATCTATCTATCTATCTATCTATCTATCTATCTATCTATCTATCTATCTATCTATCTATCTATCTAATATTTGCAGATTTAGACGTTTTTAATCTGTTTACTAATCTGTGTCCATTTCTAACATTCTGCAACTCTGATTCATTAATCGCATTAATTCCTCTGTCTGGAATTATTACCTTTTGATTTATAAATTAGGAAGTTTAGACAAAGGTGCATAATTTTCATGGGAAAGAGAGGTTAGTGATTTAATATAATATCTCTTAGATTAGAAGATATGATAGTTTACTAACAACTAATATTAAAATATATCTGTAATTTTAGATATCTGTACAAAATTTGCTAGGAATTCATAAAAACATTAGTATAACATTTGGTATCTCTACAACCTTTTAGTAACTGCTTCATTCTGGAGATTAATAATAGTATGTTTGCATTGAAGGTACTTATTTAAGTGAAGTTTGTGTTAATTTGTTACAATTAAATCTGTTGAAATTGCAAAATGTTCTTTACTACTACTTTTTGAATATTGCCAGCATCTGGAGATCGACTTAACCTATTCTTTTACTCTGCATGGGCTGCATTTTAAAGGATGGGAAACTTTTAATGTTGTGTGATCAGTATTCATTTAGGTCTGTTTTAAGGATTGGTTATATAATACTAGGTTCCTACATTGATATGCTTGGGAATATCCCTCCCTATTTCTTCTCTCATTTCTAGAAAGTAATCACACACTCCCCATTTTAGCTAAGATTTTAATCCTCATGTTTGTACCAATGCTAAGTCTAGTCAATATTAGAGTTTACAGATTCTAATGATTTATCATAGTTCAAAGTCAACACAACCAATAAAGTTACATTCATTCTTAACTTGATTAATGGATTAACCTTCCCCCCCCTACCCCAACACACAGACAAATTAGTGTCAAACCTCTCAGCAATAACCAGGAGGGAAAATGAACAGCCAAGGCACATGTTTTTCTGAATTTTGATTAGATGAAATAAAATAAAATATGTATTTTAAGTAAGTGCACAAGAATTTTAATAAATACTCTTGTTTTCAAATGTGAGTTTTATGTACTGGCAATTGTTACCTTTTTGCCTTTCTTTCTTGTGCCCTTCCAATAAAGTGGGGAAGAACTGATTTTTTTCCCCAAGGAAACACGGAGGTCTGTTTTAGGGCATTGCTTCTGCAGTGGTTGCTAACTTCATTATAAGTGTTACAATGAATTATAATTGCTATTAGACAGCCTGTGTCCCATTGGGTCATTATTTAAGAGATATTTCCTTACCTAAGAACAGAGAAACAGAATGATCAAGGATGGGCAAAAAGCAATGGAAGCTGGAGCAACTTCTGATTTCCTACTAGCTTCCCGATTGAGTTTCTTTGTGTGAAGTTGGCAAGGAGCAATTGAAAATCCTTCCTTCCTTCTTCAGTTTCTACAGGGAATAGGAAGGTACGACAGTGATGGCAGACTTTGGCCATGGCAACAACATCAGCAGAAATACTACATTGTACAATCCATGCATTTTGCTTCACTCTTTCTCTGTTGAGGTCTTGTTATTAAAGGGTACTGGTGTGTTGAGTAACTCTCAAGTAATTAGTGTTTTCCACATATTCTTCATTTGATCTTCCCTTTTCACCTCTTTTCTAGTCTCCTCATTCTGTACCTTTCTTTGTGATTCTGGAGACAGGCAGCCTTTTCATCCTCTGTTTCTTCAGCTCTCCTCTTCCTTGCTGCATCTCAATAACATTTGATTTCATCTTTTGATCATGATGTTCCCCCTCTCTTTCCACATGACATAATTATGCTGAAAATAATTTAATTTAATTTTTTTAATCAAAATGTTATATGTTGCATTTTTGACCTCAGAACAGC